GTCAAAATCACGAGGATACCAAGTACAATCTGACCGATAGCCCCATGGTATATAATGCTGCAACGAGGCAGGGAGCCTCGGTCATCGAATACTGCAAAAATGTCGAGAAATCCATGCATCTGGTCCATAATATACCCACCCAAAGCGATTACAACCACCCCGAGGAATAATTGGGTAATAAAGAAGTTGTCAAATGCAGTCCTCCTATCTCGTACCCAACTTGGGTGAGCGAAAAGTGTGAAACCAAACAAGGAGAAGAGAACCGAGGAAAGTGCGACAATAACCATTGCCTTGCGAAAGTCTCTCATGAGCTCTCGGAATGCGTCGTACAGGATGGGGCTGTCGAATTCATTGAGGCCAGCTGTTACCTGGTCTCGCAAAGTATCTGCGAAACGAGCAGTGACAGAATTAAAAGCAGCGACGAGCAGCCAAATAGTGGTGAGAGAAAAGACACAGAGACGAACAAAGATGCGGGATGTATCGGTATATTGAGACATGGTGGAGTTGAAAACGAGGAAATCGAGATGAATCTAGCCAGAAGCTTGAGCTGCACAATTTCAGGGATCAATTCAGACTGAGGATGAGTAGGTACAGTAAAAGAGAGGGGACAATAAGACGATCATTTTGGCACCAGCATATAAATGCTTTCCATAAAAAATAGAGGCATATGCGAACGTATCGTTCCTGCGAGCCCTCACATGACAAAAGTTGGTTGCCTACAATTCCTTTCTGGCTCCAGCTCGTCAATGCATACCTCGTAACCATACTATCCTAGGAACAGACAAGGAATGCCATTTAGCCCCAGCTGCTGGATGATCGGCAAAATAGATAAGTTAAAAATTGCTCAGAATCCTTATTGCTCCCAGGAATCGGACATAACTTTCTAGGAGTTCTTTCTGAAATGTTAATGCCCGGAACGAGTAGATAGTTTTGCTACTCACTGTTTGCACATACAGCTTCATGCCAGTGTACTACTCCTTCTTTTACTGTATTATGGGTGCACTGGGCATTGGTGGACAGTAAATGGGTTATTTCGAGGGACCGACTACGGCAAGATGGTACAAACAGACTTGTAATGCTTAAGCTATATACACTATTCGCGAGCTTCTAGTACCTTGAGATATGTTCCAATATTACTTTTCGGAGGTGGCAATTCTTCCCGGCTCGGAGCCAGCACTATGTTCAACCTGCACCTTATGAACATCCCCAGTCTCTGACAAACTGGAAAAGCGGCCAGTTACTGCCATGGCCTTTGAGGGTAGGCTGGTTCCTCGTTCACTCCATTTCCCCAAGTAGTGGTATGGTATTCGGACCGAGTCTGGATATTTTGTCGCAACACATTAGAGCACGGACAGTATAGACTCATAGATCGCTCAACCGATCTTTGGACCTCCAATCAATCAATCAACCAATCAATCACCTGATTCTATTGAACATGTTTAGTATTAGCCAGTACATCATTTCCTCATCCCGACACTTCGCCGGGGCACAACTATCGCAGCCGCGCGTCCCAACGGCAGTCTAACGATAGGAGCGGCAATTAGGCCACGGCAGGCTTTGATCAAGCTCTAAGATCGTTTCAGCAAGTGGAGCATGACTTATTGTACAAACACGGATATATCTGGTTAAAGCATCGAGTCATTATTTTGAAGTTTAGGAGTTGCATATATTCAATTCCGTGCTGTGTTGTGACGAGATCGCACCCCGGTTCCAACAACGAGTGGGTCCATGATGAAGTTGATTGGATATCTTCGCGCCCAAGCCATGCCAAGGAACAAGGCCGCGCTAATCCTGGTCAACGACCTCCTGTCACCACTCGATGCCCGACTCCTTCTGACTGATGAAACGGAGCCGGTTTTTCACTCTTGTGCATGTGTGATCTCTAGCCACGAAAATGATCTCCTTCGATTGGTCACATCGACAAACATGAAACGTGAAGCCGCGTCTGAATCACGAGGCTGCAATAGTGAGAGTGATGAGCGACCAGCAAAAGTGCCCCGGCGAGGGAGCTCAAGCACGAATCCAGGGCCCTTGAAGCTCGAGCAAGACCTCAGCAGAGTACAGCCGCCACTCTCCCCACTCTCGCCTGATTGTAATAGCGAAGTCAGTTTTCAATCTTGTCTCTCAATAGCCATTTGACTGACTGCATAGAATCCCAATACCCTAGAGCATCGAACAGCACCCCCGTCTCTCACGCATGCGCCCACCGAGCTCACAGACGGAATATATCAGTGGATACCTGCCCCGTCGGAGGTCGACGCGCTTGAGACAATGAGTCAACCATCATCGAAAAGGTCCCGATCACGTTCGATCTCAACGGATCGGGGGCGTGCTCGATCGGTTTCGTCGGAGAACAGCGAGAGCAGCTCGGCCCGGGACACCAGGTCATATGCCTACAGAGCCGTCAACTATGTCACTATTTTGGAAACCAAGGGCTGCTTCATGCGACCGTCCCCCGCTGGCCCGGTACCCGACGATATTGCGCTTTGTGAGCGTCTTCTCGCTCAGCCGGTCGAGCCTCCTACCGGTACACTTTTCGACGACTTGTACATCACAGACTTCCATAATGCATTGCGGAACCGATCTGAAGCGCGTCTCCTAGTGGACCTACACCCCCTCGTTATGCCATCCGCGGAAAATCAGTACATCCAGGGGAATGAATCCTTGAAAGACGTGATTGATGGATACAATGATCCGTGGCTGAAGACCGAGCCAATATACGGTCCGAAACCGCAGCCCGACCATGCGCGCGGATTGAAGTGGTCGACCTTTTCCGAGAGCCAGCGGCGCAAACTGGGGATCAAGCCGGACGAGAAATCACCGTATACGGCGCGAGAGGATATGTATTTCCCTTACTTGACAGCAGAAATCAAATGTGGGAACCAAGCGCTGGAGCTTGCCGACCGGCAGAACATGCACAGTATGTGCATTGCCCTGCGGGCTGTGGTCTCTCTGTGCCAAGCGGCGGGCTGCACGGAAGAGGTGCATCGGCGGATTTTGGGGTTCTCGGTCTCTCATGAGCTCGAAGGCGTTCGTTTGTACGGCTACTATCCTGAAGTCGATGGGGGCAAAGTGTCATTTTACCGCTGGCCGGTCGCGCAACCCAACATCTGGACCAAAGAGGATCGGTGGACATGTTATCGGTTCGTGGAGAACGTGGACCGCGAATTTCTGCCTATCCATACTCACCGGCTATTGCGGATACTTGAAGGAGTTCCGGACCCAGACGAGGGTTCTTTAAGTGTCGTTGTCGACGGGCCTGACTCTCAGCTGTCCATGGGTGGATTGCAGGAACGTTTGGGGTATCGCAGAGCTGCATCCTCGCAGAATCGTGGTTTGCAACCGGAGCTACGCATGATGGTTCAAACATTACAAGAACAATTGGCTGAACAGAAGGACCGAGAGGAGAAACGAGAAGCGGAACAGAAGGCTCGGGAAACAGAACAGAAGGCACGGGAAGAGAAACTTCTCGCTCAACTAGAGCAGCAAAAGCTCCGGGAAGAGAAGCGAGAAGCAGAACAGAAGGCACGGGAAACAGAACAGAAGGCACGGGAAGAGAAACTTCTCGCTCAGCTAGAACAGCAAAAGCTCCGGGAAGAGAAGCGAGAAGCAGAACAGAAGGAACTGCAAATGAAACTTCTTGCCCTTTTAGAACAGAAGGATAATTCGAAATGAGCATAAGAATAGTATCTATGGATATTCATGCAAAGACTTCCAACTATGCCTGCGTTAGAGGACCCTCCCTCTTTTGGTATTAGCGTCCCAACCGTAGGGGTAGATAGGCCAATGGGGACGCAGTGTGCTTCGACACGTTTACACCGCGACGGTCTCCACTGGTGACGGGCGCTGCCGCACGTTGTAAGCCCTCATACGACGTGACATGAATGGTCTTTGATGCGGAGGACGCGGCAGTATAAAAGTCAGCGATGTCGGACCTAGTCAGACGTGTGAAGCCCAAGTTGCAAGGGTTTCGGCCCTAAAACGATGTAAGTGAATATTTCTATTTATATCATGAGATCGGGATCGAGAGAAAAGCGGAGGTCATCAAATGGTAATCTTTTTGAGTAAATTGAGACCTTGGAAAGACAGCAGCCAGGAAGGCTGCACGTAGAGTGAGCAGTAATTTCGAAGGGGATCTTGTCCTCGTCGAGCTATGCGTGTACTAGCCCATCAAAAAGTCAGCAATTTTTGGCAGATGGTGTCCCCGAATTCATAGGTATCATGTAAAAAGAGCAATTCAAGGCTCAAAAACCTGCATTTCGCGTGCATGGTTTGACGGCCTTGAAACAAACAGACTACTAAAAAGAAGACGAAGGGGAAGACGGTGCTTGGGGTGTCACTATCCTGTGGAAGGACAATAGTTCTGGGGTTAACGATAGAACGGGCCTAGAATTTTCAGCAGATGAGTATAACAGCACTTAAGGCATAAGACAAATTTTCACAAGAACACACACTCGGAATTTGAATGGCAAATTCCAAATGGCAACAAAACATATCTGTACTCTAGCCGGGAGATAGCAGCTCATTTTCCTTGGTCGTAAAAGGAAGGAGAGAAGGGAGTATTTCTCTAGTGGTCGCTTGGTATGCAATCGTGGAGGGGCTTTCACTCAGGTATGCCCTCTCTGGGAAGCCCTCTATGCCATCCGAATACCCAGGGATGGCTGTGAGAATTCCTGGTGTGGGGGCTAGTTAAAAGGAAAGATACCCAAAGTTAGCTATTGTGAGCCTGGAACAATGGGTCTTATGTGCAGTACCTACCTTCTGGGGGCAAGCTCCGATAATCCCGAAGTTGTCCATCTCCGAGTTGTGACGCTGGATGCATGGAGTTATCGGCTGCGACAAAGTCGCCTGGTTGATCAATATCTCGAACAAAATGTGGCATCCTGTTCGCGTGGTTTGTCTCGTGGTACTTCCTCATTTGTCGTTTGAAAGCAGTATGAATTGCTCCAAAGCTCCTCTCATGTCGAAAGTCTGCCAGGAACTCAGCTTGGATCTCTTCCTTATTCAAATGTCTTCTTTGCATAAACCAGAATGGTAAGCGCTCCAGGTCCTGGGTTGCCCATCGACGATTGCGGGATCTGGCTTTTCTCTATCAGCTCTAGCCTTTTGTATGGTATTTATTGCGTCACTTACCTGCTTGAGGTCTATTTATAATCTGGACCTCTATATGTGATTCAGGAATTGGTGCGCCTTTTCTCCCGCCATGTGTAGAAGTGCCCGAAGCATTCAATTGACGTGTCGCAGAATATGGGACTCCATCCGGCAGATTGGACCCGCCTGGCGCCTGGCAAACGGCTGCTTCGCTATGTTTCAAAGTCTCTGTGGGGTAAGGGCTCGAAAATGTCTTTGGAGAATCTCGAGATACTGTTTGTGGTTGACAATTTTCGGTCACAGTGTTACCATGAAAGGTGAGACCTGTGTTGTTGACTGGGTCTGTCAGCACTGACACGCATTCATCATTTCCGTCCCATAGATCGGTACTTCCTCCTGTACCGTAGCGTCCTATGCCAATATTGCTCTGGCCTTCCATGGCTTCAGCTTCTGGATTCAGAGGCGTGGGCCTCCTGACCAATAAGTCATGTTCAGCCAGCTTCTCCCTGTCGTTGGATGGGCTCACGATACTTGGCCGTAGTTCTGGGAGGCTATTTTGCCGATCAAAACAGGTCTTGTCACATTCATTTCTCGCTTCCTCAAGGGATCCTCTGCGGTTTCCGCTCTCCTCGCTAGGATTTTCATGCAGACAGGTATGGCTGAAATTCTCTGTTTGTGGATAGGGATGCTCCATCAGGGGCCCCAGTTGGCAACTAAGACTCTGTCGTTTTTCAAAACCTTTCGCAGGCATCCACAACGGTGCATCTGGAAGGGTGACTCGCCGACCATTTCGGCTATGTAGCCTTTTCCTCTGGCCCATTCTCATGGGGACTCTTCCGAGCAGTTTATTCGCCATTATCCTGGAAGCTGGCCTTGTTTTCCTACCGTGAAAACTCCGTCTAGTAAGCTTGCCGGGAAGGCTACTTCGGAATTTCCTCCTGCGCCACATGCGATGCGCTCTTTTGAGCTCGTTCAGGGCTGACCATGCTTTCCCGACTAGAGTCTCTTTATTGGGAACTGCCGCGTACCCTAAGCCTTGATCATGCTGGGCCTGCTCCAAAACTAGGCTTGATGGATACATATTCGAATGTGTTGATTCTTTCCATTTGTTCAAAATATCTTGAAGCGCTCGAGTTCTCTGGTTAACCTTTCCGATTATCTTATTGTTGACTTTAATCACTTTGGCTCAGGAATTTGCCGGTCAGTGAAGGCACAATCATTTTTATACCGGATCAGGCGTAACATAACTCACATTTTGATGCAAGTTGGTTCGAAATTGCAACCATCTCGGCAGTGAACGACAGTGTATATAACTCTGTTTGGACATCTCTCTTGTAGTACCAAGGTTGAATCAATTTCTGTGGTAGGCCGGAAATCATCATATTATGCTGGAAGTCTGACAACTCCGCAGTTGCGTTGAAGTCATGCAGATAATAATGATAGACTTCGGCTTCCTTGAATTCGATCTTGGATCTGTCTGCATTCATAACATCCAGCCAAGTGATGGTCCTCTGCATCGTGCCATTTTCGAGCTGGATGATTTTCGGGCTTGGAGAACCAAAGATGGCATCTATCCCTTTCATAAGATTGACACTGATCATCGGGGCATTGTAAACGACCGCGAGGCTCGCATTTTTGTTAAATTGATCCAATATCTCCTGGGATTCTTCTAGGGCGAGGCAAAGTCTTTCTTGCAGCGGTTGGAACTGCTCCAGGAGACTTTCTCCTAACTCCAGAAAATTGCCTCCTTGGCGGTGATTTAGGCTTTGATTTTTTTTGGAGAACATAGATTCAGTCTTGCGGCTGGTGGAGTCTTAATCGTGGCGGTTGGCTGTAGGCTCGTGATGACCGTGATATTCTTCTGGAAAGTCATAGAGATCAGCAGGTGCTGGTTCCTTACATCGAGATTCGTTGCCTACCTTGTGGGACCAGAGAAGATGTGTTGGGTATGAGGCGGAGAAAAAAAAGTTATTTTCTCAGAAGTCGATGATGAGTAGGAAATTTATAGCCCATGAATCTCTGGTCACGGAAGATAACCGGCTCTGAAAAGCATGAGAAATCACAGGCCAGTCTATTTGACATGGCTATGCCGAAGACAACGTTGGCAGCACGGTTAGATCACTTTACTGATGATGAAGCATCACTGAAATCAACGTTGAAACATCAATGACTCTGCTGAGATTCCCTATGCACATCACGCTCCAGAGTTGTGACTGCCGATATGCTGTTCCGGGAGTATCTGCTGCCTTGGGCTCGTGACATCAATGGGGCCTCATTATGAAGATAGATCACACTTCCTCGGGGCTGCTTATAGTATGCAGTCGCTCAGCTGCTGCTGGTACCTCCTCTCGCACTTTGAAAGCATTGTCTTTGCATTATATAGCATCGTCGAGTAATGTGATGGAGATCTGATCTTTTGTTCAAGCGTACGTCCAAATGCGGGAGATATTCCTGAAATGCTGAGTTCAGACGGAGTGACCCACTTTTCGACACACATTTCAGATACTACAGGTAACGAGGTCAATAAAGTAAAATTGAATGGGAAGTTGAATATTCAGTGTACATAGAAGTTTCTTTTGCTTGGGCTGACCATGTTCAGGTGCATGCCGCAATTCACTAAGGTCCCGAACATAAATCGGATCGAGCCATACACCACGCCTCACGGAAACTCAATCTGCAAGAAATGCATCACCTCGGAGATCAAGTCCTGCTCGATACCTCCAACGAGTCGCTTGATCACGTCAGTGGGTATCGATCGTTCTTGTAGTTGTGTGCGAAGAGAGAGCTCGGGTAAACGAGGATGAGAGGGAACAGCCTGCTGTGGCTGCACTTGCACCCTGCTTGACTTCGGCAGGGTTTTCTGTAGGAATTCAAAGAGACGACAGAGACTCTCTGCGCTATGGTTTTCGTCGATGCGAAGGCAGAATTCAATGGCAGCACAATTCTTCTCAAGCAGACTATCTCTGTCTTGGGCTAAGCGATGAACAGCGGCGTGGCGAATGCCGGCGATCGAATGGCGCAAGTTCTGAACAGTGGTGATATTTTCACCATGTTGCTCAGACGAGATCTTCGATCGGTTTCTAGCCAAGAATTTGAAGAACTTATGCAGCTCCAGTGCCTCGGGCCATGTCCATCCAACGGCCAAAGACTGTGGTTGAAGCCATTTTTGAACAAATTGGAAAGCGGAATGCTCGAGGTGGCGTTGCAGCGTTTGGAGGATCAAATGTTGTGCTCGAAAAGGGATAGACGTCACATGAAGTCCTAGGATGGGAAACAAGATCTCTATAAACTCTACCGATCGTAATTAGCGAAGGCACTCTAGTCTCTTGTTTTAGCTTACCCTTAGCTTTCAGTCCCCGGCTCTGTTTCAAAAACGATTTCAAGGACCTTCGACAGTCAATTGTGGAATTTTTCAATTTTGAGAGGATCGCGAGGTCATTTACCGGTAGCTGATTGACTGTGGAGACCAATGATGGACAGCGGTGGAGTCTCTATTGGAGCGCGACGAAATCATTTTCCGACGACGGACTCGGCGTCGACATCTCTTCATCAATGGTACGTCGGCCGGCTTGTAGGCGTGGGTACACGAAGTACCCTGGTCATCCTGTGCTGGCAAGTGAAATAAAGATTTGGGCGGCATGACGAGTTGCAGTGACTGCGACTTGCGACGGAAAATATGACGGCTAGGCTGAGGGAAATCATTTTTCTCTCACGGGGCAAGAACGAAAATTTTACAGGCGAAAAATTCCGCGGGCAGGCAAGCGATCTGCCAAGGCGAGTCTTCCATGGAACGACTCTACATATTAGCTGCGTGGAAACCGTTTCACATCGTTGAGCAATGTTGAGACCAATGATTTGCAAATTGATTGGCTACGGTCCGAGCGAATATTGGCAGACTTCTGCTGCCACGAGAGATTAAGCCGCCACGGCGACTAGCCCATGGCATGCCACTTCGGTCTAAACCTCATACCAAGTGCGTTGCAGGCCGTTTAAGCCAGGTGAATCAATGTTGATGAGGCAAATGATTTGTCACGCATCGCATCATGCCGACCACGGCTCCAGGTGGATCCAGCCACTCCACCCGCTCTCCACCCCAAACTCTTGAAATTTCTTATTTCAACGTTGATAAACCGCCTCAACACCCACGAAATTAGGGTCGCCCAGTGCAAATTTGAAGTCAAAATCTCTGGACTCGGCAAAATGTACGCAAGTGGTCGCTGCCGAAACCCCTACTCCGAATAGCATAAAAGACGCTCTTTTCCCGTCGAAAAGAAAAGCAGGACTTTCCTCCTCACACTCCGGGCCTCGCAGCCTTGGGGTGTCTTTTGCAGGTAAGATCTGCGTTACCAAGTACTCTTCGCAGGACGGGCTCTGCGTCATCAAGTTTGCCTCGCAGGAGACCGCTGCGATACCAAGTTCTCCGCAGGAGACCGCTGCGTCACCAAGTTCTCCGCAGGAGAGTGCTGCGTCAACAAGTTCTCCCTCGCAGCAATGAGCCCTGCGATTGTAAGAGTGTGCTCCCTCACAGCCAATGAGCCCTGTGTTGTATAAATGTGCTCCCTCACAGCCAATGAGCCCTGTGTTGTATAAGTGTGCTCCCTCACAGCCAATGAGCCCTGTGTTGTATAAATGTGCTCCCTCACAGCCAATGAGTCCTGTGTTGTATAAATGCGCTCCCTCACAGCCAATGAGCCCTGTGTTGTATAAATGTGCTCCCTCACAGCCAATGAGTCCTGTGTTGTATAAATGCGCTCCCTCACAGCCAATGAGCCCTGTGTTGTATAAATGTGCTCCCTCACAGCCTTGAGCCCTGTGATTGTATAATCTTGAGCTTCCATGCAGCCTTGAGCCCTGCGTTATCAAATTTGCGCTCATTAGGCGATCCGTGGCGCCGCGGCCCTCGTCCTGATCCTCTGGCGATTGCAGGCACCTCTTCGTGGTGTCAGAGACTAGTACTCGAGAAGACTTACTCGAAGAAGCCAAGACCTGCTCGAAAGAATCAATAGAATCGATAGAATCAGGAATCCAACAAGACATGATGTAAAATGACTTCAGTATTGTATGTAGATGCCACCGTACATGGCTCTGGTTCGAACAATGCGCTTTGTAGCGCTCAATCACTCCTTGAGCTTCGAGAATGGACATTCTCTTCCACGTAGTGTAAATTTGAGCATCGAGTCATGGTTGATAGCGGGGTGGCCAATCTAGATAGCGGCTGAAATCCAAAGTGGTCCATTGGTGTGAATACTTGTGTCTGCTGGCTAGCAGTGGCAACGGGGCTTGTTCGGATGTAGGGAGATGCGGAGTTTCGACGGTGAGTGGGTGGTGTGCTGGCGTGTTGATGGTGCTGGCGTATTGATGGTGCTGGCGTATTGATGGTGAGGTCTGGATGTGAGTGAGGGCTGGTGAGTGAGGGTTAGAGGTGAGTGACGGTTGAGAGGTGGTGATGATTGTAATGGGGATCGAACCAGTGAATCGTGAATCAACATGGTGATGGGCAGCGCGGGTGACTCCCGGGCGGTGAAGCGGCGGCCAACAGTAAACACCCATCCCGTCATAGTGAGGGTCTTTGTTCCATATGCAAAAGTTGAGAAACAGTGCGAAACGATGATTTCTAAATATCAGATTCGTGATGGTAGTATTTCCTCCGGTCGGTCTTCTGTGTGACATTCTCTCGGCTCGAGATTCGTCGCGTGCTCTTTGACCATATTTTGTTCAATATCTGATATAGTATTTCCGAATGCTGACTCGATACCTGCAATATATATCCCTAGACCATTTCTATTATGTACATGATCGGGGTAAACTGGCAAAGAACCATTGGGGTACGGGCGATAGAAAGCCTCATTCTTCCAAGCAATTTTCAGTTATTATTTGGAGTCGGCCTGATCGAATGAAAGCCATTTCTAGAGCCCCGAAACGCTGATCTTGCCGGATGTGTGCCCAGAAGAACGGGCGGGTATGATTATTTGTAAATTAGTGGCTATAGTTAAGCAAAATTGGCGCCGGCAACCCTTCTCTTTGCGTGGCCTAGTGATATTTCACTTGGCTTTCTGTAACGAAGCGGGTTCGATTCCCGCAGGGTACATCAGAACCCGTCCATGCGGTCCGCCTGAACTCAAAGCCCGCTTTTTTTTTTTGAACCATTTCCCGAGTATTCGCTCTACGATTTAAATTTTACCTTTTGCTGATCTCCAATGGAAGTGGTGAAACCACCTGTGCGGAGTCGATTGGACATGCCCGCTAAAGTCAGCAACCGGCGGTATTGAAATTGATGTTCGTCGAGGACCTGCCGCACCAGAAACATGCTACGGCGGGCAAAGGCTGGGTGCACTTACGCGTCGCGTAAAACACACATGCCACGCCTGAGACTGAGAGTAACATCAACCGCTACGATCGATGTCAGTGAGAACGTCTTCTTCACATATATCTCAAGACGTTCTTCACATATATCTCAAACCGACCTGCATCTTTCAAATAACTAATAACAACTGCGCCATTGTGACCGTCTCGGCAATCGACTGGCCGGTCCGGCGAGGCTACTTCTGCCGGCGGGTACGTGCGATTCGGTGGTGAAAGCGAGGAGGCATTCGGTCGGCAGGCGGCTGCATCGAGCATAGCATCGGGGAAAATACCTAATTTCATTAAAGTGACTTGACTATGTTTAGTTGCCTTTCGAATTATCCTGGAGATGGAAATGTACTAACCAGGATCAATTATGAATAAGCCATGGTAGCAGCTTTAATGACCGACTGCACCAGGCCACAGCCAAGGCAATTTGCCGTTGGATATACCTAATCTAGCACCGATTATCAGCAGCTGGCGCAAGATAGTTGTTCGCAACTTACCTTGTTCGCGGCCTAGATGAGGTCCCCTTAAACCAGCTATAATGCACATTCTCGATCGGACTCACCGGAACAGCTGAATTAGGGCTGTCTCACTGTCTCTCTATGTTAATATGATTTCTGGTGACCGAGGGTGGGATAGACTTACCGTGAGCAGCCTGGAATCAGCCTAGAGAAACCAGGAACTAGGTAGTGGGATCCGATCCGAGATCACTTTGTACCACTGGGAATGGACTTAGCCATACCTGCCAATGTACGGCTCTGGGCTAATATTCAACCATGCCAGGGCAAAGTATCACTGGGCAAGAGATTCATGGTTCTTTTTTTGCGACAAACTTTGCCCCGACCTAAAAATGACTGCTCTCGCGGCGAGCCATCAAGGGTAGATCTAAGCCATGGGCTGTCTTAACGCTTGATCAACTGAAATCAAGGATTGAAATAACTGGCCTTAAGACTATTGCCAATAGCTCTTTTCAATTTGCCGATTGATGCCACCTGGGAAAGAGTTGGTTGTCTTTTTCCGTGGCGGTGGATTCTCGGCCTCTCTTCGTTGTCGCGGATGCTCCGATGGCTCGCTCGGTCATCAGTGAGACCGGCTCATGGCTACCGACAAGCCTTCAATTTGGACATGGGCAAGAGGCTCATGGCCGTCAGAATATGGTGAGTTGCTAATACATTGGCTGTCAATTTCTGTTCGGACAGGGTAATGTAGAAGAGAGGAATGGAGAGACTTTGGAAGTTTACCGTATGGCTAAGCAAAGGGCATCAAGCCTTACTGAAATGGGCTTGCTTAATGCGCCAGGCGAAGTGCCCGCGTCAATCATTTCTTCTGAAACAACAAAGACGCAAGTGTAGTGAGATTAAATGGCTTGGCCCGTCAGGTTGTTGCAGCTGGTTTAGTCTCGAAGACGAGGGGGAACATAGCTCTGTCAGGTCTAGTGTAAAGAATCATCAGCGATATTTTCTGAACAATGGAGAGCCCCGAACAGCCAGCGTTCATTTTGAGATCGAAGTGCAGTACCGGGCGTTGGGAAAGAGCAGGGAAAAGCCCAAGCGTGACTTACAAGACATTGAGTGACTTGCGATAGAAAGTTTGCCATCCTACAGAGAGAGCCGTCAGCACATGATATCTGCTATCAATTTTGCCGTAGTTTTTGGACTCACGTTGTCGGTAAATGCTGTTCACTGCAGGGAATTTTGTAAAGTATGACATCTATTTATCATCAATCATTAGTAGGTACCCTGTGAAGGCAGCTTGGAACTTACTGTGCCCCCAGCTTGGACCACTCCAGATCCTTGAAACGTTTGTTCAATAAATTCTCAGTGTTGAGCGGAGGATGGGCTAATATTGAGTATCCTCCACGTTAGCATGGTTTCAAATGATTGGGCACCTACACTCACTTCTTGAAGGATTGACTATTGAGAAAAGTTAGGCGTCAATGATGTAAGAGGTCAGCTCATTTTATTGCATGATTTGGAGGTCAATCCATACCAAAGAGTAGCCGTGGAGACGAATCATACTTGACACTTTTTGTTCCAGAATCACAAAGGAATTATTGTGAACGATGGTACTGCTGGCCAAGGACCGGGTATTTATAGTTATTCAGCAAGTCATTCACTCTGCGTCAATAAGATCATCATGTTTAATTGCGAGGGCTCAAACACGAACTTCTCTTCAATGATGACTGACTCAACATTTCATCATTGGTTTAATGCAACTCTCAGAGGAATTAAATTTTACGCATGGTGATCCAGACAGAAAATAGAAACGTTTCTGGCTGTTGGCATTGTTCAAACAGTCATGATACCGTAGATAAAAACCGATAACAGTTATCAACATTCATCACCGTCAGTCCGCCCTTTACTGCGACGGGCAAGGTAACAAGATCGTGCGATTTCATCCCACTCACCGGCGATGAGCCCGTGACTCCACGCAACAGCAACTCACCAAAGGCAGGCAGACCGCAGGGTTGTTCGTTGCCTACCTCGCATATCGGAGAAAATCCATCACCTACACAATATCAAGTAGATACAAGCTATGGGTCGGCGCGCGGCTGATTCGTACAGCCATATCTCACAACAGAGTTTCTTGTACGGTGAGCCAGTCACTAGTTCGATTACGTTTTTGAATAACAAACCTCTGCGTCAGCCGCGTCTTTGCAAAGGCATTACCCACATCAGTCTCCTGGGAACGAAGCGGATGCGGATGGGTACTACTACTCGGAAATATAAGCAATTAGTGCCATCAACGGCCCACATGCTCACAAGTCGTCTTTGAAATCATTGGTTAATAATTGGCCTTGGCTCCCAGGAGTCTGTGGGTCGTAAATATTGATGTGATCATTGGATACCACTAATAAAGTGAAGGAATAATGAGCCAATCGGTGCCATGAATGATCCACCTGTACCACAAAGCCCCAGTAGAAATAATCGGTCCAAATTTGGCTATGAGCCCCTCGGGGTCTAGGGCTGCCGTTCCACCTACCATAATTGGATAGCCCGTCAGCAATACCCCCATCGAATTTCCGGGAACTAAGTGGAGATGTAAAATTGGGTACTGCTGCAAAGAGATACAGTATGGCCTTCCACCATCGTGTTTGTGGGAGTGTCGCGGGTGCCCGCGAAGGCGGTGGGCCCCCATCTGTCTTGGGTCAGCTCCAGCGTGGTTCGCAAATACAACAATTCTTATAACAGACAATATCAACAGTCAAGCCCCCCCCTTTCCGATATAATTGAATGCTATCTGGCAGGATTATCCTTGATTTTTCTATTCGGACATCATGATCAACAATGCCACGTCTCGGCTACTGCAGGCCCGTAAGTATCTACCCTCTCCGCTCCACAGAATGTTGGGGTATTGTTTAATTCATTGTTTTGATCATTTTCTTTTATAGAAGCATTCACAAGCCAAGAGGTGTCCTACGTATCCTACTAGTATATTCCCCATATATGCTTTATGAATAAGTGTTGGAATTAAAATCAACCCTATCCCAACCCTCAATGATAACGCGCAGTAGCAAAGAAAAAAAAGAAAATTACGTAAATGTAATTTGAGGCACCGCTACCCCTGGTGGTATCCGTGGCCGCGCAGAGTTTTCCTCTTCAGTGGGTTGAGGCGGAGTGGGTGTTTTTTTATCGGTAATCGGCGCAGTAGACAGCTCATAAGTCGTGGAATCATCATTTTCTGTTTTGCGCCGAGAGAAGGCCCGGTGGGTAAATCGTTTCAAAGGCAACAAAATTCCTTCATGCCGCGAAGAAGGGCCTTGAAACCGTTGAAGAACGGCAGCAGTAGAAATGTCATTCCGCCAACTACTGCGTTAAATAGAACTCCGAAATGGCGATCTGGAATGATACGCAAGATGACAGCCCATGGAACGCAACCGAGGGCGCATATTAGGCAAATGGCCCAGAGAATGCCATTGATTCGGGTCACGCCAAAGGCCGCACCGCCAATGTATACGATCATGACTTGGCCGCCAACTATGATGGCGGTGATGCCCAGAAACCAGTAGTTCCGGAACATGCCTTCGAAGATATTGAATTTGTTATCGAGGCGGCGATTATTGAACATGTTGAAGATCTGCATCCAGACGAATGTGTTAAAGACGACTGTAGATAGCTGTTTTGATCGATGATCAAGGTCTGAATTATCGAGGTGCGCGCCGAGGAGTTTGTCTCCGGCGAAATAGAGTATGAAGATGACTGTGAGTTTGTATACTGTCTGCCCAAGAATCATCTTCCACATGGTCATTGTAAACAGTGAAGCACTTTTAGGCACAGGTTTGCGATCCAAGATTTTCTCTGTAGGAGCATCGGTGGCTCTGTACTTTATATTAGCTATGAAAAACAAAATCTAGCAGTATAAGGGTTTCTTACAAGGCCAAAGCTGCAAAAGTATCCATAATCAGGTTCACCCAAAGTAGCTGCACAGCATTCAGGACGCTGGTGTTAGAGCTGCTGGACACAGATGAAACAAATGTCAAGATAACGGCCGTGATATTGACCGTGATCTGGAACTGCAAAAACTTGGCAACAGCGTCATTGACCGCTCGTCCCCAAGCAATAGCCGTAACGATGGACTTGAAGTTATCATCTAAAAGAATGATAGAGCTGGCTTCCTTGGCAACCTCAGTACCAGCTATGCCCATAGAGAAGCCGACATCTGCAGTTCTCAAAGCAGGCCCATCATTCGTGCCGTCTCCTGTGACTGCGACTGTTTCGCCAATGGCCTTGAGCCGTGCCACTAAAGTACGTTTGTCATCGGGAGATGAACGCGCCAACACCTGCAGACGGGGAATCACACGGTCCATCTCCTCATCTGGCAGCTGCCGAAACTGAGGACCTTCCATGACCAGCCCATTTTCAGTCAAGATGCCACAAGATAATGCAATAGCGATGGCGGTCGCGACATTATCTCCCGTCACCATTTTGACCTGCACTCCTGCAGAATGACACTTGCGGATTGCTGGAACAACCTCGGGTCGAACAGGGTCCTGAATTGCCACAACTCCGATCCAAGTCATGTCTCGGAAGACATCATCGAAGTTAGCGACAGACGGATCGTCATCGAGTTTTTGAGCTTGTTTCGGTGGCCAGACATCGAAGTCCCTGTACACCATTCCGATTGTCCGAAGAGATCCCTGGGCGTACTGATCGATCATCCTTATGATTTTTTGTCTGTCCGTCTTTTGCAGTGACTCTGTATGGATTTTCTCTTTAGACATATCAATATCGGTGATTTTCATACTGCAGGCATCGGCCATAATTTCGGCTGCCCCTTTGACAAGGAGACGATACCCTGCATCAGATTGAAAGTATACAACACCCATGCACTTTCGCGCGGAGTCGAATGGAATGAGCTGGATAATTTCAGCAGAACCGCGCACTGAAGCAAGATCCATGCCCAGATAGACCTGTGCAAGCTGAAGAAGTGCGACTTCAGTCTTGCTCCCCACAAACTCCTTGCAGCCATCTCGTTCCTCTTCAAACGCAGTCGAGTTCAATGCAACGCTCTTAGTGATGAGATTGCGGACCAGGGGTGAGCACCGTTGAAAGGCCTCTGAGGTGGTCTGCATACCGGTGTCATCATCAATCTCCGACGCAAAGCCGAATTTTTGATCGGAGCCCCAGGTACCAGCGACCACGGTCATCTTATTCTGTGTCAGAGTGCCTGTTTTGTCGGAGCATACCACGGTGGCATTGCCCATCGTTTCACAGGCACGAAGAACTCGAACAAGATTGTTCTCTTTTACCATGCGTGTTGTGGCAAAAGCAAGGGCAAGCGTTACTGCCAATGGCAAGCCCTCTGGGATAGCAACAACAATAACAGTCACGGCAACAATCAAAATATCCACGAATTCCTTGCCCTTCTCAGCAGGGCCCGTATTGGGGTGATTCGGAAGATCAGAGATAAATCGGAACAAGAGGACAAAGAATAGTATAATGGCAGCACTAGCATGTGTCGTCAATATCAACTCGCCATATGTCTAAAACAGGTTAATGGGGTCGGGACTTACGCTGAGCCAAGATATCCAATCCAGTTCGCAAGCCGTCCTAGCTTCACCTGGAGCGGAGTAGGATCGTTCGACGTCTGCAGCGACATTATGATCTGACCATACGTGGAATATGGACCGACACTAGTAACCAGGTATGTGCCCACTCCTTCAAGGATTTTGCTTCCGGAGATCAGGAATGGATCGAGCTTCCTCGTCGCTCGGCCCTCAATAATCTGCAGCCAGGCTTCCTGTCCGTCGATCTTTTTTATCTGATCAGACTCACCCGTAGCAGATGACTCGTCGCATTTCACGCCATGGCCAGATATCAAGATGCCATCAGCAGGGATAGAGTCTCCGGACTCTAGGTGCAGAACATCGCCGACCATAACTTCGTAGACAGACATCATCCTAGATTTGCCCGAGCGGATCACTTTGACCTCGCGATCGTCATTCTATGCAACTGTTAGCGTATAAAGAGATTTTAATCTTGGATTTCAACAACCTACCCGCTTGTTAAGTTTAGCAAATTGCTTTTCCTTCTGCCAGTCATTGGCAGCCGTGACGATGGTGACGATCAAAATCGCCACGCAAATAGCCACACCTTCCACCCACTCAACACCCGTACCCCCATCCACACTCTCGTATATTCCCAGAGACAATGACACAATAGCGGCGATGGTCAGCAAAATAATAATCTTATCTTTATAAGCAATCCAAAAGAGTTTCAAGAACCCAGTGGACTTTCGAGCAGGAAGTTGATTTTGGCCGAAGACACGGATACGGTCTTCAAAGGGCGAGCCACCGCAAGTTGATACTGGTGCCGAGATGAGTTTGGAATCGATCTCCTGCGTGGGTTTGCTGATTGAGGACTTCCTGTTGTACAGCGGCGGCGTCACCTGTTGAAAATCGACAGTGCCTTCCAGCCGACTCTCGTCAACTGATAGACCCGCATTAATGTCTGTCCGCAGGCCCCGTCTCAGCCCTTGTAAGCCACCTAGGGCATGGAAGGCGGCAAGAGATTTGGGGTTCTGCATCTTGTTCAGCTGGCCCGGCGAAAAGGCAAAGCAATTATTAGAAACTTGAAAATCGGCCCTATAGCGAGGATCTGGCGTTAACGCTTCGGAAAATAACGTAAAGTCATCAGCTGCGTTGTTCATATGGGCTTGGTAACTGGCGTTTGAGCCAGCATCCGAGTGAACGAACGTATCCGTGGTTGAAGCGTACGAAATTGAGCGCGGACGCATGGTGACGCCGCCAATCGACGATGAGGGTTGACGGGAAGCATGATGGACTGTGAGCCGATCTGGATTCTGAGTCCACGCCATGTCTGGCGAGAGAAATGATTTTAGGGTATTTGGGTCCTGGTCTAGGTCTGCTGTCGGGCCAGTGAATGAAGATGATGCTGCTGCAGATTCCACGGAAAACGAGCGCTACAAAGAGGATCTTAGTACTATATACTTGCTTCTGGGCATATTGTCAATGGAGCTGGATACCTCTGTGCCAGAAGGATATGACACGGCAACAGGGCTTAGGAATGAGCCCTGCTGGGTCGAATCTTTGTGAGAAGGCGACGCCATGGTGGTGCCACTATGCACTAGAGCTCGGATCCTTTCGATTAGGCAAGATAATACACGGGTATTCTTTTTCTTTCTTGTTTTCTTGCGCGGGGGCCCGTTCCAAGTTATGGGATACAGGGGCCCTTTACCTCCTTATTTTGTTTCCTAAGGGCTGTGTATTAAACTCGGAGCTGCCACTGACAAAGGGCAGGTCGGCCATGGAGAGGGTCTGTGGGCGCTAGCGAACAAGAAATTGCCAAAACAAAAGCAAATATTCTTATCCACCAGCGAGATGGGACAAGAAGAGATGCAATGAAAAGTGTTACAATGCTGATCCTGGAGGAAGAGTCTGTCGCCCAGGGTGATCCTAAAAGAATACGTTGAAATAAGAGCACAGCCTCGATCAGCGGCAATAAGACATAGAAGCCGGCGTATCGAGCCATGATGAATGAGATCAGGGTGATTCGCAGTGTGCTGGAGGAGGCGAACCAATATCTGAATACCAACTGAATGGGGCAGGTCGTCACGGGAGCTGTCTTTAATTTGTCCTTCCTGCCTCCACCTTAACACGTGCGCGCCATTGTGAGGCCCCATATGCCCAAGGAATCTGGAGCCAGCCAGCAACGAATGATTCATAGCGAGATTGGGTGACGAGTTTGGGCTTGCCGCTGCGTGCCCACGGGTGGTGGAACGGATGTTCGACTGCGCCTCAATGCCAAGCCCAAATCACCTCGCAGTTCAAGGATGCCCCGAACTTTGTATTCGGTTGATGGGAGGACATCCTCATGTAGACTGTCGCAGAATGGTGCTCCCCAGGTAAGGAGGCGCGAAGTTGTCGAGTGCGTCATGGGCGTTCTCTGGACTGGTTCTGGGGTTGCAGGCAGTGCTAGGCGCTGAGGATGCAAAGCCGGGCGTGAAAGCCTTTCGCATCATAAATAGCGAGTTAATCAAAGGGTGAGATCTGTGGATGTTACCGATGTAGGCAGCGATATGGAATGACATTTGCGACCAGTCCCGAAACACGCACCTAACAGCGAGTTGTGGAGAAGTTGGCAAAATAATTATGGAGTCGGTGTAGCACGTGACCTCATCTCTTTGAGCTCTTTTAGTTCGTGTTGTAGTTCAGAGGTGTGAATTGTGTTATTGTTCAGAGGAAAACATTAGGCTATATATATACAACTGAGAAGAACAAGTTGATTTCCAATCAGCTTGGTTCTTCGTATAGATATCTCGGGATTAATTCCGATGGTTCGGCTTGGTTCCTGATCTGCACCAGCCTCATATCACAACAGTTCGTCCATGCTGATCTGGGCAAATGTGGGAGGTGGCTGGATAGGCAGCACTAGGAGAGTACGAAGTACAGCCTGCCTTTATATCAGGCTCAGTGAGGCTCATATTAGTCTTAGTGTATGTCGGTTGGAGAAGAGGAAATATATATAGCCTCCCCTATGAATATACAAATGTACCTAGTCAATAGACCTGTACATGGCCCATGGGCCGGCCCATTTGGGTCGGCCCAATTGGGCCATTGGGTCAAAAACCCGGCCCATAGCCCATTAATGGGCTGGCCCAAAACGGCCCAATGGCCCAAAGATAGGGCTTTTTCTAGGGCTAACATGCGTTGCATAAAATATGAAGATTAAGCGAGATCTTGGCTGTAATGCTGTGGTTTCGATAATAAAGTGATTCTGTGATACAATAGTGATTTTTATATTGAATCAGATACAGTGAGAGCAGAGATGTGAATGAAATTATAGATTATATTAAGTAGTATATCCCTGTAGCCGTATCGATGGTATCCGGGCCCTCCCTGAAGCACGCTGAGTATTAGATTGCTTAGGTAGTAGAGGCTCTTCTTCCGCAGAGCCTCCTGCCTCATCTGATGTATCCTCTTTAGCTTCATAATTATCTCTTTTTCGCTTTGTATGATGCTGTAGAGGAGTCTTCTCCTTCTCCTCCTCCTCCTCCTCCTCCCCCTCACTAATCTCTATGATCTCCTGTAGAATATGCTTTGTGGTATCCTCCTGTTGAATATCTATCTCGTACTCTGTTTTATATTCTCGTATAAAAGCAAGTTGCTCCTCCTCAATATCAAATCGATTAGCACACATGAGCAGCATGAGATCCTGAATAGTCGTTGCATGGAGAGAGCCGCGGCGATAATGACAGATATCGCGGGCAGAATTGAATAAGCGTTCTACACCTGCACCGGTAGCGGGGACAGAAAGCATGTCTCGAGCAATTGCTGCAAGCACTGGGAACTGCTGCTCATGGTCCCTCCAGAAATCAAGTGGGGAAGTGAGTATAGTACCTATTGAATGAATAGTTAGAGAGGTATGTATTGAAACTGTGTTTTGGGAGAATACTTACCCCCCTTCAGATACTGATGGAGCTCTGAGAGTGGTACTGCGGGTCGAGCTCTATAACTATCAAGCAATATTTCAATCTCTTGAACAGGCTGTGGGTAAGAAGGCCCTTCAGATTGTGAGCAAGTATCATGGAGTTGAACTTCATAGGCAAGAATTTGCTGCTCGAGTGCTGCTTTATATTCACCTGCAAAGTCCTTATCTTGCCACTCAGGGGTCTGAAAGAACTCAAGCTTATACTGCGGCGCTAAGATAGTTCCATTGGTATATATGTTGATAAGCCCTGGAGTATCGGTCGCTGAGTAATAGTCCTTGAGCTTATCTCTTGCTTTTTCCAGTGCCTGAAGCATCTGACGTTTCCATAAGATCTTCTTGTGGCACAACTGACGCTGGCGGCTTTCAAGATGCTCAAACAGACGATTATAGATACTGAAAACCATGTGAATTGTAATGCCTTTGGTTTTTGAGAGAGCGGTGGTGTATTGATAGAATGGCTGCGTAATGCAGATCAAATAATCAATCTGCTGCCACTCATCTCTACTCAGCTGAAGATCAGTATGGTGATCTGCCACACAGTAGGTATTAAGATAGGACTGAAGTCGCTTTGCCCGGCGGAGCATCAGAAATGTTGAATTCCAGCGTGTTCGTACATCTTGAATTGGAAACAGTTGAGAGCCTTCAGGCTGAAGGTTCCTAAAATTCGCACGGCGCTGAGGGCTTGCATTAATAAATACAGCAAGGTTTCGAATCTAGGTAAACCATAATAGAATTAGTAGAGATTCGGAGAATAGTGAGGGTATTAGATCATCAAACCTTGCGAAGGGTGCTGGCTATACTGTACTCTTTTGCTATTTGACGTGCTTTCTGCATATGCTCTTCTGACCAAATAGATTCAACATTCTCATTGACAGGGTTTGCTTTTATTTGACCAAGGAGCTGCTTAAGGCTCAACTGAATGACGTGAGCAAGGCATGGTACTCTGATAATAATGGTATCAGAGCTCAGGCCTTGAGAGAGATGAGTTTCCTGGAGAGAAGAAACAAGGGTTAAGTTATTGGACGCATTATCAGTAGTAATAGCCAATACTCGCTCCTTAATCTCATACTCTCGAAGTAGTTCAAGAACCTCTTGACTGAGATTTACCCCAGTATGCTCACCCTCAAGAGGTTTAAAATCAAGTAAAACCTCTCGGTATTCCCATTCTGAATCAATAAAATAGCCAGATACTGCCATAAAGGCTTGTTGAAAGGGCGAGGTCCAACAGTCCAGACTAATTGAAAGCTTTGCATGCTTTGGCAATTTCCGAAGTATCTCTTTCCGACGATCTTTTGCCTTTGTTTGAATCTGACGTTGTAATGTTACGCGAGAGGGCATATTGATAGGAGAGGGAGCTCGCTGAGCTAGTCGGATAAGCTTCAGAAATTCAGGGTGTTCGATCGTTGTAAAGGGAAGGCGTAATGTAGATATTGTTGTAATAAGTTGCTGTTTCCATCGGTTCTCGTTGAATGCTTCAGGGGCTATGGCTGCCTAATCAAGAGAGAGAAGCATTAGATGGTTTTCCGGCTGGAAAAGAAGGTCCTTACCTGATGCCGTAGTAGCCGCTGTAGATGAGACCCTTTCCCTTGCGCTTGCCCTCTGGCCTGGCATGTTTGACGTGTAAGATGGCGGCGTAACGCAGTAGTTCCATGTGCGCTCTTACTAGAACGACTTATAGCATTGGGGTGGTGGAGAATAGCACCACATCGCTTGCACATCATCATTGGCTTCCCAGTAACACAGTGAGCAACCTGGTCGAATGAAGCCCAGATATCTGCTCGGCAGCCCTTTGTATCCCATACTCTCGCATCCTCAGCTTGCCCAGCAGATGTACGAAGCCACCATTCAACAAACTCTTCCTTGTTCATTGCTTCGAATATTATGTGGTTGTTGATAGGTTTAAGACACCCTGGGATCTTGATAGGTTGGAAAGACTGTGTTGTTTGACTTGCAGAGTGCTCAGGCGCAATACTGTCAGAGTAAAGATCCAGGAAAGATGAATCATCAACATCACATGCCTCGCCATCATCTATAAGGGTTATCTCTGGTAATTGGATTTCAGGCATAATGAAGAATAGGCAATTAATTAAAGAACGAGGATTGTTGAATAGATAGAAGAGAGTAGAGAAAGAGGTAACGAACTATTTTATTCTACAAGTACATACTCTCTATTTAGCTGAAAGATCAATAAAGCAGAGACTCAGGGGGGACGCGTTGTGTACGCAGCTCTAGTCTGATTAGCAACTTAGCCAGGAGACTCCCTATTAAGGGTCTCTGATTGGTTAATTTAATGGGCCAGCCCATGGGCCGGCCCATTCAGCCTAGATATTCGTGAAGTGCTATCCCCCGCGGATTAGATGTCGGCATCGAATTTTTTTTTCACCCTCCGATGTTAATATTTTAATGGATTTAAGCCACCACCAAAGTAGTATTAATCAATTTAAAAATATAGAGAATCGAATCAGACTACTGCGCTCCCTATAGTATTAAAAAATCTAAGAAAACCTAAGTTCTCAACTACATCGAATTCACAAACGATCAAAGCAAGAAGGCCTACTAGCTTGCGAGTAAAGGAATATATATCTTTTGACTTACAGTATATTTGGTGAATGGTAATCTATTTAGTAATTTGCCATAGTTAAAGCTGTATAATTAGAACACTATCAAATACCACTAGTAATATTGAATATCTTGCATATAATTTATGCAAATTTGGGGGCTAAATGGGCCAAATGGGCCAGCCCATGGGCCGCCAAGAAAACCCATGGGCCGGCCCAATTGGGCCGGATATTCGAATTTTGGCCCATGGGCCGGCCCATGTACAGGTCTACTAGTCAATGCGGCTGATTCCTCAATAGAGAATGACTAATTTCCCGTTGGTGCCGAACTTATGACCTACTATAAATTACTTAATGCGCAACCAGATTAGTTGACTAATTGAACCTTTTTCATACTGTATTACCTGAATAAATCAGGATGTTTTAAATTTTTTTTCTCATATTACCATTACAGTCAACGAAGACTGAAAGCAAAATTATTAGCAAACAGATATTTTGTAAAATTGCAAGCGAGGTTTGTTCACAGGGGAATTCAACGATGTGGATTCACACCGGGCATGGGCTTGACGCGCCGGCTAGAAATAGATTAGCATTGTTCTCTTTTTCATCTAATATCCACAAACTGAAAAGGAAAAGGAATAACATACGGCACTTTCGAGGCTTATCTTGTTCCTTAACCCATCCCTTTGGGGCGCTGTACCAGATTCCAGAATCGCCATTTCTATGACCATTGTCAGCAATTCAAGCAGAAGTTCACCAACGTTCTGTTCAAAACTCACTGATACTTGCAGAAAGAGGTGAAGGTAGCACCCAAAATAGACGTGCCGTTTGAGGGGCTTGAGTTGCACGGATACTTGTAGTATGGATAAGGATACTTGACCTCACAAACGTTCTGATTCTCGTATCCACGGTGGTCTCCGTAGCCCTTGCCGTTGCCCCTGCTTTCAAGGGAGTCGAAATCAGGCTCCACGATCGGCGTCGCCACACTCAGCTGCGAAGCAAACGGAAGAAGTACGGCAAGAATGTAAGATGGCGACTTCATTTCGCAAAGGGATTACCGATAAAGGTAAAAATGAAATGAATTAATCGAGTTTGATGTAAGATATACCAGCGCGGGACTAGTATGTTGGAATGAAAACCGTAATTGTAAAAGCACTTACAGTACGAAATTTCTGATCCTTTATATAAGGCCAAATGGTAAAAGTTGTCGGGTCCGAAAATGACTATGATTAATAGACCTTCGATACGCAATATTGAGCTCGAAATAAAACGATATCATGCTTCTCACTGCGACTACTTCCGGCAAAGACATGGATCTAGACCGGCTCGGATTGTCATCTGTCGCTGATCTTTGACGTCAGATTGGTGTGGCAGCTGCTGGTACAAGGGATGCTTGCTCAATTTAAACAGTAAGATAAATTCATTTCTCTGTTAGATTTGCTGGTATTCATGGTATAGTCCGATTTCGGTTGTTTAATAAGAGACATCTTGTGGTTTAAGAAAGCCGATCCTCTTAAAATCCTTGGTAGACTTCCGCAAAACCCAGTACTGGGTCGAAGATTCCGACCCAAAACCCAGTCGTCCAAAATATATAACCCAGTTTTTTGTATAAAATACATAAAAAGTGCCAAGACCTTCCTATTTAGGATTGTTTATACACATTTATGCATAAAACTGGGTCGAAACTGGGTTACTGGGTTCTTGGCAATGCCAAGATTGGGTCCAAAACTGGGTTCTGCGGAAGTCTAATCCTTGGATTGGGGATCGAGATGATCGGAGATTGGCTTTATGCCAAGTAAAACTAATTCAAATTTCGACGTGATGGAAACAATCCCACTTTTAGTATCCTTTTAAGCTTGAACTGGACAAATTGATAAGCTTGGGCCGGAAATAACTCTAATTTTCCCAATCATGGCCCACTTACGGTTCCCATCATCGGTCTCGGTTTCGGTCTCGCTTTTGCCATGTTCAGTTGTTCAGTTGACTTGAGATCTAAAGATTATCGCTCGGTCTATCAGATATTTCAATTCCAAGGATTCTAGCAACTGGAATGTTCGATCCAATCAAAACCCACTTCCAAATGCTTTCTTTCCATCCGCGAATGGGGATTTCTCTTCAAGCTTCCAGCCCAGTAGAAGTCTCCTTATGGATAGATATATTTTATATATTTTTCACTGCTCAGTCAGCACTTATGCAACTTGGAACGGCCAGTCGCATCATAAAATCTCATCTGAATCAGGATCTCATTAGACCTAGGGATACCGGATCTTCGGGTGAAAGAGCTGGACACTCGACCCTCAAAACTGCAGCGGGTGACCCTCAGTGTGACCCGCGGGTGAGTGCGAGGGTCTAGCAATCTTGGTCAGAGGGAGACTGGAATCAACCCTGTTCAGGCCCGGCATGAAATCATGTCGCTACCCAACTGCCAAACGAGTACGCCAAGAACAAATATCTGGATATTTCGAGTTGCATCATTACGTCATATCTCAAAGTTTGTTATCGGTCACTACCATGCGTATCGAGACGAAAGGTATTTCAATCATCATTATTAGACAAAGGAGGATGAGTAAAGGGAAGAAGGCCGGAAGTGATATACGATGGCGATTTCATTCTGTAAAGGGAATAATAGAATGGATACTAAGGGTAGACAGAGATACAATACCCGAGACTGAGGTTACGATACCAGTGCACAGTTCACAGTGGAGAACTAAGTGACCTTTTGACTAGTTTTCAAAATTTTCTGGTTCCCTTATTTTGAGATGGTTCATATAAGGCCTGGTGAGAAAACTTGCCTTGTCCAAAAATAAAGGGATCAAATAGCTCTGTCTTAAAACATTTCAATCTAAATAAAACGATGTAAAATGTTACCACTACTACTGCTTCCAGCTGAATGATAGCAAATATATCTTGACCGCCAGCGAAGGCAAGTATTACTGTTACATATACCCTGAATTTTCTAAAGTGTATAAGTAGATCCATAGTTATTAGTAGGATACCATAAGCGTTTTCTTGGCAGATGGGCTTGGCGGGCTGGGAGCGGAAAATTGCCACCCGAGGCCAAGGCTGAGTCGAGGCCAAGCGTCAAAATGGTCATCCTTTTGACGGCGGACATCAACCATGGAAATTGATCGACTGTAACAAGTGACACGGCTACATCTGATAGCCTTTAGGGAATGTACCGGTCTCGTCGCATTAAAATACAACATAATTCTCTAAATCGGTTTCAAAAAGCAGATCCTTCAAGTTCGCTGATTAGTGAATTCAGATGATCTCCTAATTTTAGGATTTATTGAGATACGCTTTATACCAAGGGAACTATATCCAAATTTGAAGAACAAGGGTTTTGGGCTCCACTCAGGTCTTGGCGTATCCTGTTGGGATGTCAATCAGCCTCCATTCTTTGTCAAATTGGAACAGTAAGAATAAAGAAAGGAAAAGAAGTTTGGTCTAAGTTTAATTTGCGCCAACCTAATTCTGTTGGGTGACGTAAAGAAACTCGTTCTTAACCATCTGAAGCGCAAGTCTCGAACAGGTTACCCCATCCCTGAAAACCTCCACATCACGCCTGTTGTTTCCTACACATCTCTCAAACCGTTGACCACCACCTGCAAAAAGAGACAAAAATCTTTTCAAGATTCAGCTAATAGATTTGATCACTTGCTGCCTGCAAAGGTCGATCCACGTCGCTGGTCCGATTTATGTCAGCCTCGGACTTATCTAGGCCAAAAACTCGACCTTCAAAATCCATTCACAATATGTACAGATTGTTCATTGATCCTCGAGAGTAGATGGAGACATACTTCGGCCACGTTCGCACACCCGCTGACGCTAGTATCCTTTTTGAGGCTTGTTGTATCGGCCTTTTACCCCGAGCACAGAGGCGGCTTTCGAAAAAGGAGCGGCAAACTATTCGATCTGGCTCTACGTTTGTATGGGATGAGCGAGAGACGGGCATACGTCGATGGCCAGACGACAGGTCATGGAGCGCTAGCCGAATTTCGGGTGGCTTTTTGACATATCGTGAGATGGAGGGAAGGCGGGCCGGTGGGAGTGTTCCCCGTGCATCTATATCAAGAGCCGACAAGACACCGGACATTACCTGGGGCAACTATGAGAACGCAGGAGATGATAAAGATAGGAAGGATGAGTATCTATACAAGCCGGACGGTTTGTTGAAGCAGTCAATCAGTATTACGACTTCCACTGGTCAAAGGCTCCACCTGATCAACTATTACTCCTGCTCCCACCCATACGCTACCAACCTCCAACAACCCACCACTGATCCAGCGCTCCAACATGTTCATCCTCTGAACAAGCTCTATTATAAATCCGCTGTCAACTGCCGGCAGAGTCTGCCGGTGGCTTCTTCTGCACCCATGGCCGGAGCAACAGGCAATCTTGTCCCTCACCCTGGTCCCTCACATGCGCGCACATCACAAGCACCTTCATATACACCACCGTCATATGCTTTGCCTTTTAATCCTCTCGCTACTCCGTCCACAGTTGCCCTTTTCCCCTATTATCCTCATTCCGACCCTCCTGATTCTAGAATTGACTCATTTGGTCCCTTCGTAACTCCTTCATATGGTCATCAAGATCCAACCACCAGTCCGTCAGCATCTCACCCTCATACTATCCCACCGCCTCCTCACCATGACGTGCCATATGAGCGGCCACATCCTGAATCGACTCGACTTCCTCCCCGTCCACTTGCTGCAGCACTACCACTACCATATTACCCTGGTCATTCACCTCACTCTATCCATAAAGTCCCTCCCCAGCAACGAAGCCCTCGTGCTTACGGCCAATTCGCAACTGTCCCGTGTCTTGCCTCCCTGAGGCTTCTAAGAGCCGCTGGAACACCAGTAAATGAGTATGCACGGAGAAACGCCCATCTGTTAAAGCGGACGCTTCTCAGCGCACCGCAGCTCTTCAGTCCCTTTGACACACCTCCCAAGCCCCTTGAATCTGGGAATACTGTTTCTCCCATTGGCCCATTGGTGAGTGGTGTGTCGCTTCCACCGATCATGTCTTCCGTTGCTCCCAGTGGTGGCTCTGGAATTCCGCCGGCCGCCCCGCCTTCGACCATAGCCCAAGGGCCTCGAGATATTCCTACTCAGAAAATAGTGTTTGTTGGGGAAGACCTGCGTGCTCTGCGTCTATTGGACCGGGTTTTCATTTAAAAGAGAAAGAAGACGAAAACAAATATAAACTGATGAAGAAACTCATATCCAGTAGCAATCAATCTACTTGAGAAAATGTTGGCTTTTAACCCACATGAACGGGTAACTGCATCTGAGTCCCTCGCCTCTCCGTACCTCGCGCCCTATCACTACCAAACAGATAAACCTCAGGCTGGAAGTACATTGAATTCTCATGAGGCTGATCATTAGATTGATGCACGGAAATCAAGAATGAACTTTATGCTTTGTTAGTCAGCATTTCTCAACCCTGGGCCAACTGGTGAATGTTGGAAAGGTCATATGGAATATATATGATATGTTCTATTCGGGATTGTTGCGGAGAGCCCCTCCCCCTTGCGTCGGGTCCACAATATTCCGTGCTTATAATCGCACATAGATGTTGCTCGTATATCCTCTCCTTCGAAAGGAACATCGCCGTTTCGAAGGAGAGTTGGGCTCTCTTCGCAGCGGTTTCTTCTTCAAGAGTTCCTCTTGCAATGGTGCGACATAGTTCCGAGGCCCCCAGTACTACTCCTGGGGGACAGACCACCCTGGGCTCCTCGTTCTATTCACCGGAGTATATTTGGAATTCCCTCTCTGATACCCAACGCGATTCATTCATGTCCACCGTGTCCGCTTCCCTTGTTGCGGGCGACGGCCAGCGCAAGCGCCCACGTATAGATCTCACCACAGAGGAGGATGTCGACGACGGTAGGGTTCCGTCTCTTGTTTTGCCAGTCCTCCCCCGCTTCCCCGGTCTCGACCGTGCTGCCATTATAGCCGTTTTCGAACACACCTTCCGCCCAAAGAAGGACCTCATAAAACTTCGCAGCCCCGAGTTCAAAGCCTCGGCACCGGACGGCGAGTCCTTCGACTTGAAGTCCACATCGTCTGGCCTGCAATTCTGCAAGGTGGTTTCAATCAAGGACTGGGGTAATGATGCATCCCTGTGGGCCCACTGCTTCAGCAATTACATTGCTATCTGGTGTGATTTCTTCGCTGCCAAGCACTCATTATGCATCAGTGGAATGGTCCTTTTCCACCGCCGTATCTGTGACCTTGCCAGGGCATATAAGTGGCAGGAGTGTATCCTGCAAATGGCCTTAGACCACCACCAGATGGTCGTCGATAAAGGCGACCTCACCGTTTCTCTTGGCGACTGGGAAATTGGGAAAGCCCTCGAAAGCTCCTACCTACGCCCGGACAACGTGCTCCCAGCAAAGACGGCGCCGACTACCTCAACTACCCCAACCACACGGTCAACGCGCTCAACCGCCGCCCCAAATAACGACTCTGTCATCTGTGAAAAGTTCAACTCTTCTGCTGGCTGCCACTGGCGAACATGTCACCGTAGGCACGTCTGCTCTAAGTGCGGTAACGACCATTCTATGATAAGCTGCAAAGTGAAACCAGCGAGTTAGGACCACGCCGCGGTCTGCCTTGATATAATTCAAACGCTATCGCCGCCAACCAGCTGGCCAGCCCCGCGTCCCAACACTTCTATTCAGTTTAAGATCTTTGATTCTTCCCTCCCGCCTCTGCGTGACTCTGCTTCCCCTTTTATCACTTCAGCATGGGAAACTCTCCTTGAACGCTATCCTGGCGATCTAGGGACTATTTTCAGCGGCATTCTCACATTCGGCTGCCGCCTTGGTTGTACGGGCCAGCCGACAGACCGCCGAACATCTAACCACCATATTGAGGAACCCTCTATTATCACCCAAAAGCTCTCCGATGACCTGTCAAATCGTCGAGTGCAAGTTTGCACTGGTCCCGTCGGTGTGTCCCCACTAGGGCTCGTACCTAAACACGGCGGAAGCTGGCGCCGTATCCATGACCTTTCCTATCCGCCAGGGCGCAGTGTCAACGAGTCCATCCCGGATACCGCCCCTGCCATACAATACATCTCCATAGATCACATTTTCGATCTCATCCGCACCTCTGGACGAGGATGCTGTGTCATCAAACGCGACATCAAAGATGCTTTCCGCAATATCCCCGTCGCACCGGCCGACCGGCCTCTCCTAGCCTTTTCGTGGGATAGCAAGACATACATGGAGTGTTGCCTTCCATTTGGTCTTGCAACTGCACCCTTCATCTTTAACCTTTTTGCTGAGGGTCTCAACTGGCTTCTGACTGCCTACTTGCCTGTGGCCTCTATCGTTCATTACCTTGACGATTTCATCACTGTTTTTCCTCCTTCTGTAGGAGGTGTCTCTCAGGCTATCGCCGAGTTTAATACCGCATACATTCCTCTTACAGATGCACTAGGCATCCCAAGGAATGACACCAAAGACGCCGCCGGTACCGTGGTCACTGTGCTTGGGGTCGAAATCGACACGACACTTCTACAGGTCCGCATGTCTCGCGATAAGCTAACACGCGCATCTTCCGAGGCCGCGTCGCTATTACAGCAAAATCGTGTTTCGCATAAAGCTTTGCAACGTGTGGTCGGTTTCCTCCAACACTGCTCAATGGTCATTCGTCTTGGCAGACCTCGCCTCCAGTCGCTCTACAGCGACCTCGCATCTTTCCCACCCCACCAGCGCTCTCTCCGCCGCCTATCCCATGATAGCCGCGAGGACCTCGCGTGGTGGACGGACACAATTACGTTTTTCAACGGAATCCATTTCTTCGAGAAGAGCCGCCCCCCTAGTTGCCCTCTACACAGACGCGTGTGACTCCGGTCTGGGCCTCTTCTTCTTTTTTGCGCCCTCACGGGACTCCGCCGGAGACTGGTTGTCTGCAGCACCTCACCTGCCTTCCACTCACGCCGCTATTGTGGACGCCTCCTCTGCCTGCGCTACCGATGCCCACATCAACACCAAGGAGGTTACCGCAATTCTTCAGGCCTTCCTTCTACACAGCCTCCATTGGGCTCATCATTGTGTCCTCGCTTTCACGGACAGTGCCGTCGCGTTCCATGGCCTGTCTAAGCAGGCACTCCGCGGGCCGGCCCATCGCCAACTGCTCATGCTTTTTAGTATAGCAGCCGCCCTTGACATAGAAATCCAGCCACACTGGCTACCTTCATCAGAGAACCTGCTAGCTGACGCACTATCCCGTTCCGACTATGGTTCCATCGCTGACATTTGCCCACAGTGGACGAGCTCCTTTCCCTTGCTCCGCCTCCCTGGTTCTCCTGCCAGCCTATTTTCGTAAATGCTGGCCATGCAAAGCTGGTCTGGAATGGCCTCGTAGAGGGAACTAGAAGAGGATACCGCACTGCGCAGCGCTCATACACCCGTAGCTGCGCCCTCAATGGATTACAGCCGTGGCCAGCAACAGCACCAGCGATCTACACTTGGCTCACGGAACGACTGCTCGGCGCAGGTAGAAGCCCACCAGTGAAGCCCGATACAGCTATGTTTGAGCTCTCAGCTCTCCGCGCGTACCACGTCGACAACGGTCTTTCTGATGCAATTTTTAACCTCCACGCCAAGCATTTTCGTCGCATGGTCGATGGTGCTCGCCGGCTGCAACCCCCGCGCCAAAAGCGGGTTCGCAATCCAATCCCACGCACCTCAGTCATAACCCTATCAGGGAATATTTCACATCTACCTGCCCAGCCGCTGAGGCTCTCAGGGTCCCAGAGAGATGATCTCAATCTTGCCGTGGCTGCCCGGGTCACCTTCGCCGGGTTTCTTCGGGTCGGGGAATTTACATACTCAGCTGCTGAACATAGGAATACGCAAATCTTCGTTGCTACTAAGTTTACCCGGGGGGGATATCAGATTCTCCCCTACCATGGACCACGTCCTCCTCACTTTAAAGAGAAGCAAGACCGACCGAAACCACGAAGGTGTCAATATTGTCCTTGCAGCGACAAACGACGCGGCCTGCCCCGTTGAGGGCCTTTCTAAGCTATTCCTCCATGATTCACAACCTTCAACTGCTCCTTTGTTTACGCTCTCCTCCGGGTCATTCACCTCAGCCGCCTTCCAACGCGCCGTTATCGCCAAGTTCAAACGCTCTGGGGAAGATACCAACGGACTTAAGGGTCATAGTTTCAGAAAAGGGGCAGCCCAACACGCCCACGATTCGGGCCTGAGAAGTGACCACATCCAAGCCCTCGGAAGATGGTCCTCCGAAGCTTTCCGCCTTTATTTCACGACGCCTCCAACAACACTATACGCCTGGAACCGTCAATTCCAGACCGGTCATGCAACCCCAGTCTCATCTTCCATACCACCAGCCCCTCCACCATCCTCATTTGGCCCACCGGGTCATTTGGGCCCGCCTGCAGCCCTCACGGCGCTGTAGCCTTCTGTCAAGGAGACCTACATCACCATGTTCAGACTGCAGGTGCCCCGTACGGGCCAAAAATATCTCACTCGTCTCCATTTGTAGCAGTGTAGCAATGGTTGGAATAGACAGTAGATTTAATCGTAGTGCGTGTCGTCCTGTAATCCGCCGCTCTAACACTTTGTGATCTTAGTTTGGCAAGATCTATCGAATAACAAATCAATTGATTACTGTTTCTGCTGCTCTCAGGTAATATTCAATATGTGGGTTTAGAATGACGGTGCTCGAATGTGCAGGTACCTCGTGGGCATTTCATCACACATGGCATTTCATGTCACCAGGATGGGGTTTAAATCCTCATTTGTCGTTTGAAAGCAGCATGAATTGCTCCAAAGCTCCTCTCGTGTTCAAAGTCTACCAGGAATGCAGCTTGAATTTCTTCCTCGCTCAAATGCTTCCTTTCTGTGAACCAGGAGGGTAAACGCTCTAGGTCCTGAGTTGACCATCGGCGATTCCGGGATCTAGCTATTTCTCTGTCAGTCATAGCTGCCTGTCTGTGATGAAATCTGTCACTTACTCCATTGAGGTCTATTTATAATCTGTACCTCTATAGCTGCTTGAGTAATTGGCTCGGCTTTTTGGGTATAGGGGCGAAAGACTAATCGAATCATCTAGTAGCTGGTTCCTGCTGAAGTTTCCCCCAGGATAGCAGTAACGCGAATTCAGTTTTACGAGGTAAAGCGAATGATTAGAGGCCTCTGGGTGGAAACAACATTAACCTATTCTCAAACTTTAAATATGTAAGAATCCCTTGCTGCTTAATTGAACGTGGGCATTAGAACACGGCAGTCAATTGATCCCAGAGACAGCCTGGACAATATTTTGCTGCTGTTCACCTCATTGCGCGTAATAGATGTTTCCCCGAAGCCGAAAAAGTCTTGTGATGACGGTAGGTCTCGCTACGCTTTAAGAACTGAAATATCGATCCGACAAAGTCACTGCAGCTAGTTTTCTCCCCCTCTGTAAAATGACACCTTCCACGTTATTCAACTGTTTGGCTGGACGAATGGGTTTATTCGGGATGCTGCAGGGCGGGGGCGCTTCAGCTGGGGGCCATGATATTCCTGAAACGGTCCCAGAGCACTTGAGTGGGGATTCTTTTGAAGGTAAGCAAGGGCAAGATTTCCAAATTCAAGAACAAGCTAAATTACTCGGATATTGAAACTCAACTTGATCTTGTTGCAGAGATCGAGAATCTTCATCGGGAGAATCAAAGCCTAATGCAAAGGCTAGAAATTGCCGAGGAGACAGCAAAAGCGGCACGGAGGGCGCAATTGATCTGAGAGGAGAGCCTTCGACGACAAAATGAGCTACTCCAAGAGTCACGCAAAAATGCAGAGACTCTACTTAAAGAGAAATCTCAGACATTGGCCAGGCTTACTGAGCTTCAAAAACGGACAGAAAGCGTTGACGATGGTGAGGTCGTTGAAGTTATGCGCAAGATTTTTCAGGGATTGGAGGACTGGACCAAACGGCATTTCAACCAAGTATTCCATGCAGCACAGTACAAGAAATGCTAGTCTTGATGGAGCTCTACTTAGCTACAACAATTCTGCTTTTACTATTCAGGTTATTCAGGCAGCCATCTCCGAGCAAATCCACCATGGAATATTTTCCCGCTGTATGGTTGGCCTCCCAGGCAGATTCTATGACGAAATTTTCTATGAAAATGACACCAAAGTATCAAGAGCTTGTAAGTTAGCATACCTGACCTAACCGGGGGCATTGTGCTAACTAGGCTGCGGCAGCATCCGCAAAATCCGCGGATGTCGTGTCATCCGCTCCGCAATTTGCGGATGTAGTAGGATGGGTAAGATCCACAAATCCTCAATTTGTGGATGTAGTAGAATAGGCAGGATCCGCATTGCGGATGCGGATGTTGAAGTAGGATCAACACGACCTCCGCGGATTATCTGCGAATGATAAACACTATAAACACGCCAAGGCTCGTGACTACATAAATTGTGCAGTTTTGATGGTATGTTTCAAGTATTGAGTATGTAAATCTTTGCCCGGCTTACACGTCTTTGCCTAGATCATATATATATTTTCCATCTTGAACCTTTAACATTACAAACTGTCAATCTCAAATCCAGCTGGCATCTTTGGCTTCTTCCGAATCCTCCCTGACCGTGCGGTCGGTGCCTGCGTAGTCTCTTCAGTTGGCATTTCTGGAAGTGGGAGACCATCATCTGCATCATCCAGAACTTCAAATGTCCTCTTTGGAGGCTGCTTTTGCTGTGGTTCCTTCCTTTGGGTGGTCGCCTGTACAGGAAATACCTCATCCTCCGAATCATCCTCTACGTCGTCCTCCGAATCATCTTCCAAGTCATCTTCCGCTACGCAACTATCTTCTTCATTGTCACTAATCGGTTCGACATCACTACCTAACGGATCAGGATTCCTTACTTGATCCATCAGGGCAGCTTCACCCGCAGATAGATACTCCTTCCATAAGTCAATTTGACTTTGTTCAAGGTCAAATTTTGACGAACAAAGATGGAGCATAAGATCCCTGATTGTGTCTGCTTTCAACTGCCCTCGACGATAGTGACAGATATCACGGGCGCAGTTAAATAGACGCTCAACTCCGGCACCACTTGCGGGGATAGAGAGGATGTCTCGGGCCATTTTTGCCAATATCGGAAACTCATGTTGATGTTCTTTCCAGTAGACCCGAGGGTTTGATTTTACCAGTCCTAGACCTAATATCAGTATAATATGTGGTCTAAGGACAGAGGACACTCACCTTTTGCTAGATATCGCATAATCTCGTCATCTTCCTGTTCAACTGCACTCTGTACAGTAGCCTGGGGTTCACCAATCATATCAAGATCGTTAAAATCGCCTGTTGGGCCCTGGACCGTATCAACTTCGGCCAGTTCTGTCAGACCACTAAGTTCCTGCTGATACCGCACGAATTCCTTTTCTAGGACTTTCCGATAATGCTTTATAAAGTCAACCTCTCCCTTCTATTCTTTATTCGTAAAGTACTGAAGCTTCTTCGATGGAGAGAGAATAGTGGCAATTGCGTAGATATTCCTATAACCCTGTGTGTTTGTTGCTTTGTAGTATTTCACTAGCTTCTTGTGGGCCGCTTGCAGTGCCCTCAGCATATGCTTCTTCCAGGGGACGGACTTTCGCTTCAGCTGTTTCTTGGAGGCGTCGATGTGGTTGAACAGTCCATTATAGATACTGAAAATGGAATGAACGGTTACATTGTTGGTCTTTGAAAGGATAGTGGTGTAATCAAAAAAAGGCTTTGTGATCAAAAGTAGATACTTAATCTGGTGCCATTCTTCCTCGTCAAGCTTGAACTGGACATATTGGTGTGTGGTGTAATACTGATCAATAATAGATTGCAGTTTTTTGGCACGAATGAGCATTAAAAAGGTGGAATTCCAACGTGTACGAACGTCCTGGATTAGGATAATCCTAGGCTCTGTCGTTTGAAGAGCTATGAATGCTTCCCGACGCTGTGGACTTGCATTCACGAAGACCGTAAGCCCTCGGACCTTGAGAAAATTTTAGAACGTATTAGATATCTATGTGTCAGGTACATATGAGTAAGAGGGGAATATACCTTTTTCAGGGTATCCACGATCTGCCCTGTGGTATACCTAGATTGTAGCGACTGGGTACGCTGATCAGACCACTCAGACTCCGCTTCTTGATTCTCTGGCTTTGCTTTCATCTTTCCCAGAAGCTGATTCAGACTGAGCTGGATCACATGAGCAATATATGGGACTCGGAAGATAGAATTGCTGTTTAAACCAAGTGGCTATACTATCTCCTGGACACCTGTGATCATGGTGTTGTTGTTTGATGCATTATCAGTGGTGATTGATAATACCCGGTTGGCGACACTGTACTGCTGGAGGATCCGAATGACAGTCTTGCTTAAATTCCCCCCCTGTATGCGACCTATGGAGATGCTCAAAACCAAGAAGGACCTCCTGGTAGTTCCATTCGTGGTCAAGAAAGTAGCCTGTGATTGCCATAAACGCCTGGCAAAAGGGAGATGTCTAGTAGTCAAGTGCAATAGAGAGGCGGCTTCCTTCCGGAAGTTTACCAAGAATGCTTTGATGTTGCTTTTCCACAGACATGTCCAAATGCCGCCGGATACTCCTTGCGGAAGGAATATTAAGCTTAGAATCAGCCAACTGGGCCATATCGAGCAGGTCCTTGAACTGTGTATGTTCGATGAGCCGAAAGGGGAGCTGGGTAGATATAACGAATTTAAGAAGTTTCTCCTCAAAAATGTTCTGGTTGAATATCTTGTTAGATGGTGCATGTAGCTGGATTTTATTATATTAGTAAAATCAGTAGGGAGAGTAGGAGATGCTAAACTTACTGAGTCCCGGAGTAACTGGTCTATCTATCCCATGGGGGTAAATTCAATGAGGCCCATTGAATTTTTTAGGGTTTTGTTAAGTATGGGGGAAAAAAGTGGGTCCAGGGCCCATTGAATTTAGATTTCAAACCCCCATTGAATTTAGCAAAATAATGTCGTAGAGTTTCCAGATTTCGATATATTTTAATTTAGTATTAGTTTTATTCCATAGCCAAATTTAAGCACAATCAGAGCATATCCAGTATCGATTTTGTCCCCCACAAAGTAGCAAGATTTTTTGATGGGGTAACCACCAGCCGCCGGTCGCGACCAGTCAAACCCACCAACATCAACAACCACCATATGTAGTTTAGTCATAGGATTTGTTTTTTTTTGTTTCAAATTTCAGGGGGGGTTTTCCCAGATCCCCCATCATCATCCCATTTTATTTTGGGTCCATTTGAACAACATTGAGTTGATCCCATTTCCCAGATATACAATACCAGCCGATATATAGATTTCCATATCCGACATGGACACCGAATACCAGGCCCACGAATTATTTTGTGTCAATGCCGAATTTCGCGTGTTGATTTGCCAGAAATGTCAATGTGCCGTACGCCGGGGACAGATCAAGGCCCATTTAAGTAGTACCGTACATCGGATACCCATTTCGTGGGTACAGTATATCGACAGAGTGATCCAGCAGTGGGATCATATTGATGATCACCCAGAGGTGGATAGTTGGCCCCGCCAGATTGATCAACCCATCCCCGAGTTACCCGTTTATCAGGATGGATTATTGTGCCAGCAATGTGAGGTATATACATGCCGCCAGATCCGTACGATGAAGGCACATTGGATAGAGGCCCATCAGTATCGTGTACAGCAAAGCCGCGGTCGTCCCACACCCAGACAGGAAAAAGCCATCCAGGCCGCCATTAACGCCAATAGCCGAGCCGTTGCGTGTCAGCGTATATTCAGCCAAGGCCCCGGTTCACATTATATTCATATTGTGCAGCCCAATCCCAATGAGCCCCCCATAGACCCCGTGGAAGACCCCGACCGGATTCACCAGTTAGTGCAAATGGTTGAGGAGTATCAGCAGCAAGATCAACAGGCCCATGAAACCATCATCCAGGCCGGGGAGTTAGATGAAGCCACGCCATGGTTGAATCGGACGGGGTGGGTTCGGTATTTACAAGGGACCCCCCCGGCAGCCATTATTCGAGAGTACCCAGCGCCCCGAGGAGGATGCCGAGGGACCAGAGCGTATCGCATTGGTCATTTGGGAGGCCATGGAGCGATTGGCATCGGTGAGCCAGGAGATCGCCAAGGCGTGCGGGCATTTAGTACGCATTGATGTGGTCCGTACGATGAAGGACGAGAGTCCACATAAGCCATTATTGGCATATTTAGATGCCACCGCCATTCAAAAGCATGTGGCACCGTGGCAGCAGATTATGATGTTTTTTGCACGAACCCAGGTATGATCACGTCCGTACCCGATATCAGACACCCAGGTTGATTCACCATCCCAGATTGAACATGATTGGGAATCACCCAAGTATTCATTTACCCCCCGACAGCAGCAGTTATGGGATGCCGTGTGGCGCCATGCCCAGGCCCAGGCCAGTTGTCCCGACCCCGAGGATGATGAGCCCGAGCCATTCGAGATTCGTCCCATCGAGCATGCATTATTAACGTTTTGCATCGATTTATTACGCCAGAAGATCCGCAACGATGAATATGGATGTGCCATGATTTGTGCCACCGCCGTGATTGGATGCGGGCAGTTTGGTTGGGCCACGCCCGAGAATTTCCCCCCCCGGATATCCAGTTTGATCAAGATCGCGCGGTTTTTTATTTTGCACAAAGCATTGCGGTTAGACCCCCGGTCATCGGAGATCCGTCGTGGGTTCGCCGGGCAGCAGAACCCGCCATGGTTTGAAGGTGATATGATCGGCATCGATGAGGCATATGCCCACGATGATGAAGGATATGGCAGTGCCCCCCCATCCCCGGTGGCCATGCGTAGTTCCCCCCCCACCAGCGATGACATATTAGGAGCATTGACACAGGAGCAGCGCCAGCATCCCGACCGAACGTTCCCCGAATGGGTCACATATTTGGTGGATTTATTCATGGTTCGTGGGACCAATGGCCCCGTCCAGTGGTGGTTAGATTTACGTACGTACGGACGGACGATATTTATGAATACCCCCAGCGAGGGTCATATCGGGTGGAAGTCCGGAGATGAATTGTTGTACAAACAGATCCATTTTACCATGGGCCATTTCCGCGGATTTGTGCATGGGTTGGTTGGCCGGTTACGGCAGCAGTTGGTCCACGAGTTGATGTTTTGCACCGATCACCCGCCCCCAGCCATCCCGTGGGATCATTTGTACGATGATGCCACGCAGAGTGCCACCGGATGGAGTTTTTTACAGGATTTACGTACATCGTGGCCGGTCCAGGGTCCGACGTGGTTCATGGAGCGTATCCGCCACGAGCCCCGATTACAGCGTCAGTTTGTACAGTCCCACGGGGCCGGGTTCCGGATGCCCGCCATCGATCGGTTTTTTCGAGTGGTGAGCCAGTTCCGTGAGCGGTTAAGCGTGGCCGTCCATGTTTGTGCCGGTCAACCCAGCCGGGGTCCCGAGTTAATGAGCATCCGGCATCGTAACAGTGAGCGAGAGCGCCGCAATATATTCATTGAGGATGGCATGGTCACATTTGTCAGTCGATACCATAAGGGGTTCCATGTGGCCAATGATACCAAGGTGATTTTCCGATATTTACCCCGGGAGATTGGTGAGTTGGTCATATGGTATTTATGGTTAGTATTGCCATTTGTGGAGCAGATGCAGTCATATCAGCGGCATATACGGGGCGAAGCCGCCACCATCGGTCGACGGGCCGAGTATGTATGGTCCCCGGATCCCGATCGGCAGACCGAGTGGAGTAGCGTCCGGTTACGGGAGGTATTGAAGCGCGAGACCGCGATTGGATTGGATGGGCAGAAGTTGGGATTACAGGCATACCGTGACATCGCCATCGCCATCAGCCGGCGGTATTTACGCCCCAGCAGTCAGTTCCAGGCCAACACCGAGGAGGAGGCCCCCGACATTGACGACGAGACATCCATGGATGATGATGGGATCCGAGCATTCATTGCGGATATCCAGGCCGCGCATTCCGCCAGCATTGCCGGGACGCAATATGGCCGGATGATGATGGAGAATCCCAACACCACGGCCCGGCACCGCGAGTTATTCCGCCAGGTGAGCCAGGATTGGCATTATTTTTTAGGATTCGAGTCCACCCGTATCGAACATGACCGCCGGGCCCCCGGCACCAAGCGTAAGCCCAACCCATGGGAAGTCGAAACGGCCGAGGCCCGTACGCAGCGTCGATATGATTTACACCAGACCAACATAGACGAGGCATTCCAGCACATGATGGGGAGCAACACCGTAGCATTGCGGGGGCAACAGGGTCCCGTATTACAAGCCATCAAGCATGGGGTAAGCCCCATTGTGGCGGTCATGCCCACCGGGGGGAGGTAAGAGTGTGTTGTTTATGTTGCCCGCGTGGGTGAGTGGCCGTGCCGGGTTAACCATCGTGGTTGTTCCATTGATTGCATTACGCGGTGACATGGAAGCACGATGCCAGCGATTGGGGATTTCATGTGCGGTATGGGACCCCCGACGGCCACCCGATGGGGTATCCATCGTATTGATCACGCCCGAGAGCACCGACAGCGATGCATTTGCCGATTTTGTGACCCGGCAGCGGATGTTACAGCGATTAGATCGGATTGTGGTGGACGAGTGCCATATGGTATTAAGTCAACAGGAGCGATTCCGGCCATTATTCCAGCAGTTGGGCAAGTTACGAACCGCAGCCACCCAGATCGTGATGTTGACCGCGACATTGCCCCCCCCGCAGCGAGGAATTATTATTCCATCGGATGCATTGGGTCCGGGATCAAGTGGTATTATATCGGGGCCACACCAGCCGGCCCAATATCGCATATCGTGTCCATACGATCCCCGTAGACGATGGATATGACCATCCGTTCCAGTGGGTGCAGATGCGGAGTGTGATCCAGTTCATCCAGGACCGTGTTCGCCGAGCGTACCCCGGCCGGGTGATCATATATGCCACCGTCCGGGCCCATGTCACCGCATTGGCCGAGTTATTAGGTTGTGCCGCATACCATAGCAAGCAGGTGGACAAGGAAGGGATTTTGGCATCATTCCGCCACCAGGCCGGGGCGGTGATCACGGCCACCAGTGCGTTAGGGATGGGGATTGATATCCCCGATATCCGCAGTGTGATCCACGTTGGTCAGCCCCGGACCATGTTAGATTACGCGCAGGAAAGTGGGCGGGCCGGGCGTGATGGACAGCCCAGCGAGGCGATTATCATCCAGGCCGAGGGTCAGACGATGGGGCGGGAATGCCGTCCGTTTTGGATGCACGATGCGCCCCCGGACGACCATGCCCATGTTGTTGAGTATATGGAGGCGGCGGTGACGGGTTGCCGGCGAGTGATATTGGATGGGTATTTGGATGGACCCATCGAGGAATACCAACGACAGCGATGTGGTGATCGGGTGGTCGAGTCCGCATGTGATGGATGTATGCCCAATTGGGAAGACCAGGAGTCCCGGATTGGATCCGCGTCCCCCGTTATCGCCGATGACCCGATGGTTGATGTTGGGGCGGTTGAGCCGGTGATGGCCGGCCCGACGGAGGATATTCCCAGCACCATGGCCCGGGCCGTACCAATCGCCATCCAGCATACATTTCGGCAACAGGATATCCAACGGGCCGAATTATGCCAGCAGGCGGATGGGAGGGCCGGTCAGCAATATGAGGATGAAGAGTTTTTGATCCGTGAGATTGAGAAGTGGGTTGATCGTTGTTGGACATGCAGCCAAGGAGGCCGTGACGATGGACATGAGATGTGGAAGTGTTGGTATGGTGAAGGGGGCAGCGGCAAGATTGCGCAGGCCAGTAAGGATTGGATGGTCAAGATTCGACGGCAGATTTCGTACGATGGGTTCACGGCGCATTTTTGGTGTGGGATGCCGCAGTATATATGTCCGCGGAGCGATCGGCGAACGGAGCATAGTCCGCAGACGGTCCAGGCATGTGATGGATATCGTACGGCATTGATTCCGACGATTGCGATGATGGTGCATGGGCCCCATGCCAATGCAGTAATCCGAGAACGGTGGTTCCAGCGATTGAGTGAGCATGGGGTGGATAATATCCGGGCGAACGATACAGAGTTGATTCGGTATTTGGGACAGATGGCGCGGAATTGTGGACGAAAGCGAGCGCAGATTACGGAAGAGTTTATTTGGTTACGGAGAGCATATCAAGGAGTTGAGCGTGGTGGGTAGGTGGAAATCGAGAGCGGCGTTCGTGTTTTCCGTATTCAAGTAATAAAGACGATGGCCAAATATATGTTGTCATGTTGCCGGGTTCCATGGTTGATTCAGTGTATTTCCAGGTGAGAGGGATGATTACGGTAGAAATATATGGGAATTATAGGGTCAGGAGGATAGATATATGATGGGTATTAGGAAGGTGATATACAGGACGATTGTATAGTAAGTGATAAGGTCATTAGTGATAGGGATCGTGTGTTATACGGAGATCGAGGTTTAGAAGTTGGGAATGTTCCGAGAGATGCCAGTGGTGAGGGTTTATGGATGGGTGGTGAGGGTTTGTAGATAGGTGGTGAGGGTTTATGGATGGGTGGTGAGGGTTTGTAGATAGGTGGTGAGGGTTTATGGATGGGTGGTGAGGGTTTGTAGATAGGTGGTGAGGGTTTGTAGATAGGTGTTTAGGGTTATATATGTTGGTGTTCCAAAGTTGTTTGTTATTAGATTAGTGGTTCCAACCCGTCCGAGAGTGCATAGGAAGAGATCAGAGTAACAAAAGTCAGTAAATCAGTTACAAGGTTTTGATATAGATAGCAAGGGACCCAGGGCCCATGAGATGAGGGTTTTCGGGGTAGAACCCGGTCAGAGGGTGGTTTTAGGGTTTTGGCATTGATATTAACCCGGGCCCGGGCCCGGGTGGTGAGTTTTAGGGTTGAAACCCGTTGTCCGAGTGGTAGGTTAGTGGAAACCCGAGAG